TTTCCTCAGTGTTTTTGCCCCACGTTTTGTGTTTGTCATATGTGTTTTGCAAACCAAAAGTGTCTAATTTTTGTGTGATCGAACCTGATCATTTTAGGTAGGATTTTTCGCCATCCCAATAAGTAAACCTTTTCTTACTAAATTTGATAAATAAGGTAGGGGTTGGAATGGTGGTAACTTCTTGGTTTTTCTAGTTTTCTTCCTTCTGTTGAATCCATGTAGAATTATTTTAGTTTTAGGGGATTTGAATTTTTTTCTCTTGAGTTACTAACCTTGATTTAATGACATTTATCTGGATATTTCTCATGACTGGTGTATTGCAGCTTCTTTTCTTCACGTTTTATTACAGGCTCATATTATAGTCCCTCGGTATTTATAGGTTTAACATTTACATTTCCCACTATTGTCAATTGACCACAAATGGTCTGTGCTACAATAATTTCCAGTTTTACTGATGCACGAATGCTGCCTGACTCGCAAGTAGGAGTTGATCTTAATAGCGCAGAGAGCCTACCAGACAGGCTAGCACCCGCATCTCAACACAGCTTTGTTTTTCTCTGCTTGTCGTCATCGCGTACACAGTAACTCTCGAAGTGATAAAAGCTGTTTCTTTGTGAAATGTGGGCCTGAAAAGAAAACCAACTACTAGTGCTGGTCATGGACGAGAAAAAGAAGAGGTCTAAGAAAGTGATGGTTCTTAGCAGCAAATAAACGTTTTGGATAAATTAAAGTGGTTTTGCAGATTCAGGTAAGTTTGTTGCTACAGTATTGATGTAGTTTTTGTTTTGAGTGGCAGAATTTGTTTTTTAGATACAAATTACCAGTAACTTACTTTTAGAAGAAGAAAGGGCTTTGAATGTCAGGTGTCACTGAATGCTATGGGGAAATTAGATAATGTGGTGTTTGAAACTTTCAGCTGGGCAGGAAATGATGAAGTCATAGGGTCGATCATGTATATCAAAGGTCGATTATAATATTGAGTCATTCTATTTCTGTCTTTGTGGCATTGTGACACTTCTAATTGTTTCATTGATTTTGGTATTGACCATTTTTTCCTGCCACATCAGTAATAGTACAGTAATACCTAGGTATTAAGGTAAAATAGATCTTGGTGGTATTTCGTTTATAATATTGAGTCATTCTATTTCTGTCTTTGTGGCATTGTGACACTTCTAATTGTTTCATTGATTTTGGTATTGACCTTTTTTTCCTGCCACATCAGTAATAGTACAGTAATACCTAGGTATTAAGGTAAAATAGATCTTGGTGGTATTTCGTTTAAGATTGTATGAAGTTAAGTTGTAACAAATGGGACTAGACTTTGGAAACAATTCTAATTTGGAAACTATTTAGATGATGCTTAATGAAATTACTCCCAGACTGTTCAATATGTCTTTTAAGAACTTCATTCTCTCTGTAAACATTTTTTAACTTCTATATGAATTCGCATTTCTATTAGATGCTGGTTTTGAAGAACTCATATGAAGAGGCTTCAAAAAGTTTGTGGGAAAATTATATTAAGTGATAATGGAATGTTTCAGCAAACTTTTTGAAGTCCCCTTTTATAATCATATCTCAAGTAACTTGAAGTCTAAAAAAGTAAAGTTATGTTGGATCAGTGATAATTGAAAGTGTAAACTGTGTTCTGTTAGATAGCATAGAATTCTTGGAACTCTGATAGGAGCTAGTGATTAGACCCATGCAGGGGTGTTCCAAGAGGAATGAGTTCAGGAGTGAACTGATGGTGACCCATTCCCCTCCCATCAGGTTCTCACCTGACTCTTGCAAGAATATAGTAAGGCTGTTGGCATGGCTCGATCCATTTCAAGTACCTTACTGTCATTTTTATGTTAGCTAATGTGTTTGGGTTTTCCTCACAGTCTTGCTTATTCCAAATAATATTTTGTTTTGGGTTTTTTGTGGTTTTTTTTGCCACTAATGGACTTGTGGTAAAGGACGAGGCTTTCTTTTCTATTCAGAGTTAGTCTCACAAAAGCACAGAGACAGTTCTACCCTCGTCACCAGTCAGACTCGACTTAATGTCAGTGAGGGGTTTTTGTTTTTGTTTTTTTGTTGAGTAGTTTATTACAATATTACTGTTATAAGGATAGCTAAAACAATAAATAATTATGGTGGTAGTAGACTTTCTTGTTTCATTTCTAGGTTTAGAGGGCATGGGTAAGAATTTTACTATTAACAATAATGCTTATTTCAGATGAAAGGGTGAAACACTTGTTATATTTGAAGGACGAATTCTGTGTGCTTGTTAGAAATTGCGTGAATCGCGTGCCCTGTTGTAATTAAATAATATTATATATGACTTTATTTTGTCTTTTGGTAGTGGCTTTGTATTTCTGAGTCTCTCCATTTTATTTTAATGTATTTGTTGGAATTTTATGCTTGTATTAAATTAGACATTTTTGTGCATAATATTCATGTGATCTTTTTAGCTGGTTCAAGAATCAGATTCTGTTTCATTTAAGGTAGTTTAGTTTTTAATTATTTCCACTAACATACTCACTTCCATCACGTCAGTTCCCACTCATAGTAACCCACCCTGTAAGATAGAGTAGAACTGCCCCATTGGGTTCTAAGGCTGTCATCTTTATAGAAGGAGGCAGCCTTATCTTTTTTCTAAAGAGAGGCTGCTGGGTTCGAACTGCTAACCTTTCGGTTAGCAGATAAGTGCTTAACTATTGTACTACCAGAGCACCTTTCTCTGGGCTTAGAGTGGGTTTCTGGAAGCATAAAAAAACTGTTTTCAGTACCAGTGTACTTTGTGTTCATAGTGTGTCTAAAAGAGAAAACAAGATCTGAATATAAATTTTAAATCTTTTTCTTGTAAGTTTGCATCAGAGTGTTAGTGAAAAGCCTTTTAGCTTATGATTCATTACTACTAAATGGCTATTCCTTTCCACTTTTTAAAAAAATCATTTTATTGGGGGTTCTTACAGCTGCTATAACAATCCATACATCCATTGAGTCAAGCACATATGTACATATGTTGCCATCATTCTTTTCAAAATATTTTCTTTCTACTTGAACCCTTGGTATCAGCTCATTTTTTTGTCCTCCCGCCCTCATGAACCTTTGATACTTTATGAATTATTATGATTTTCATATCTTACATTGACTGCTGTCTCCCTTCACCGATCTTTCTGTTTGTCCCCTTGGGGGAAGGGGAATGGTAGTACACCTATCATTGTGATTGCTTCCCACTCTCTCCCTCCACCTTCCTCCTTCCCTCAAACCTTTCTACTTTTCTGTTAAATAAGTAGTACTGTCTTAGAGAATTAATTCTAGATGTTTAAAAATACATTTTGATTGTACAGAAGAACCTTTCAGGACAGTGGAGAGTGGTATGTCAGTTACTGTGGAGCTGGTTCTGATGTGGCAGCCCCAGGTGTGTAGGAGTAAAGTGTGCTCTTGGGTTTTCATTGGCTAGTGCAGGGGCAGTAGATTGCCGGGCCTTTCTTTTGAGGTTCCCCTGGGTAAACTTGAATGTTTTAGTAAAAGCTGCGTGAGTTAACTGTACCACCCCAGGAATGTTTCTGAGCACAATTAATCATAGGTACAGAATTTTTAAAAATAGGTATTTCTTATTTTATATCGTAAGAGAAGTTTAAACTGAATTCAAATTGTATAAAATATTGGTCATGTGAGAACAGAATTATTCTTATTTAGATCTTAGTTCAAAATAAAGTTGTATGTTTTCCATTACAGTGTTTGTAAAGTCCAGATTATAGCCCCAGCACTAAACCCAGCAATCAGTTAACTTTTAAAAAATAAATGAGAAATACATGTTACATCTAACCTAAAAAAGGTATGTACCGTATAAACTCGAGTATAAGCCGACCCGAATATCAGCTGACACACCTAATTGTACCACAAAAAACTGCATGAAAAATGGGCTGGAAAACTCGGCTTATACATGAGTATATACAATCAGGCTTGGATTATTCCACACATTTGTTGTTGCTGACTAATGAGATATTGACACCATTGATATAAAGGTTGCTGTGATTTCAAGAAATAGGCCCTACTTTTCTTGTATGACAAATATTAGAAGCATTTGTACTCAAGACATGCCAATCTAGGAAAGAATTTCAGTAGCACACCTAAAATATACACTGAAAGAGAGAAGCACACCAGTGTATGATCAGTGATCTAGGGCAAGAGCAGAGGGTTGACCCATGAAGCTGGTGCAGGAGGAAACTTGCACAGTGTGGAAGCGGTCAGCCGGCATGATGCTGAAAATGGTTATAGGTAGCCATTTCATGAAGTATGCATGTAGTATATAGCGAACTACACTTAGAAAAAAAAGTGTAGTCAATGAAGATCAGATCATGTCATTATAATCTTTTAAATTTGTTTTTCTTTTCCATAAGTGTCCTTTGGCAATGTGTCTCTTAGAACCCAAAGGATTATGTTTATAAGGCTTTTACCTTATATTGTTCTTATAAAACAAAAACTTTAAAAAATAATTGATGCAGTAATTCTGAGATTGACCTTTTAATTTTAGGTATTAAAAGTATCCTTAAGTGATATACATTAGTGTTAAAATAAATGAGAAAATAAGTCTACTCTGAACTAATGCTCACAAAATTAATTAAAGTGTCATAATGTTTTGAAGGAGTAGTATAACAAAATATACAAACTCCATGCTAACGATTTGGGATTAAATGCCCAAGTGTGCTTATCAAAAACAATAGATAGAGCAGGAGCAGGGCACAGTGCTGTCAACAGATAGATGGTATTATAGATACGGGTTTAATTTTATTTGCTATTATAACAGGCTTTTTTTTAATGTGGGAAAGCAGCTTTTTCAATCCATGATTTCACTATGAAGGCCTTAGAGTATTTACTTTCTATTTTGAAACATCTTGAAGCCATTAATAACTGTGGGTATGCAGGTTATTACGTTTTTCAGTTCTTGTCTACTATAAACATCTTAAAGGGTAAAATGACATGAACTTATTGCAGACATTTTCTTCTTTCAGCTGCTTTTCTAACCCAAACTGTGTGTCTTGATGACACAACAGTAAAGTTTGAAATATGGGACACAGCTGGTCAAGAGCGATACCACAGCCTCGCCCCAATGTACTACAGAGGAGCACAAGCAGCCATAGTCGTGTATGATATCACAAATGAGGTAAGTATAAGGCTGCTTCTGCAGTGAATTGAATTTTATTGTCATATCTGATATTCAGGATTCAGATGAGAGAAAAGATTTTGAAAAGTGTATTTTATTTTACCGAATAGGACTTTTTATTTTTTAATAATTTTATTGGGGGTTTATACAACTCTTATCACAATCCATACATACATCAGTTATGTAAAGCACATTTGTACATTTGTTACCCTCATCATTCTCAAAACATTTGCTCTCCACTTAAGCCCCTGGTATCAGCTGATCATTTTCCCCCCATTCCTCCCCACTCCCCACTCCCCACTCCCCACTCCCTCATGAACCCTTGATAATTTATAAATTATTTTCTCATATCTTACACTGTCCGATGTCTCACTTCACCCACTTTTCTGTTGTCTGTCTCCCAGGGAGGAAGTTATATGTAAATCCCTGTAATCGGTTCCCCCTTTCTACCCCACCCTCCTGGTATCACCCTCCTGGTATCGCCACTCTCACCACTGGTCCTGAAGGGATCATCCGTCCTGGATTCCCTGTGTTTCCAGTTCCTATCTGTACCAGTGTACATCCTCTGCTCTAGCCAGATTTGTAAGGTAGAATTTGGATCATGATAGTGAGGGGTGGAAGGAGAGGAAGCATTTAGGAACTAGAGGAAAGTTGTATGTTTCATCATTGCTACATTGCATCCTGACTAGATTGGCTCCTCCCCGCAACCCTTCCATAAGGGGATGTCCATTTGCCTACAGATGGGCTTTGGGTCCCCACTCTGCTCTCCCCCTCATTCGCAATGATATGATTTTTTGTTCTTTGATGCCTGGTACTTTATCCCTTCGACACCTCTTGATCACACAGGCTGGTATGCTTCTTCCATGTGGGCTTTGTTGCTTCTGAGTTAGATAGCCGCTTGTTTACCTTCAAGCCTTTAAGACCCCAGATGCTGTATCTTTTGATAGCCGGGTTCCATCAGTTTTCGTCACCACATTTGCTTATGCATCTGCTTTGTCTTCAGCAATCATATTAGGAGGTGAGCACACAATGATATGATTTTTTTGTTCTTTGATGGCTGATAACTGATCCCTTCAACAACTCATGATCACACAGGCTGGTGTGCTTCCATGTGGGCTTTGTTGCTTCCGAGCTACATGGCAGCTTGTTTCCCTTCAGGTCTTTAAGACCCTGTATCTTTTGATAGCTGGGATCCATCAGCTTTCTTCACCACATTTGCTTATGCACCCGCTTTGTCTTCAGCAATTATGTCGAGAAGGTGAGCATCATGGAATGCCAGTTTAATAGAACAAAGTATTCTTGTATTAAGGGAGTCCTTGAGTTGGAGGCCCAATGTCCATCTGCTACCTTAATACTAAACCTATAAATATTTGCATATAAATCTATTTCACCATCCTCATATATAAATATATTTACATATGTACACGCCTTTATTTAGACCTCTATAAGTGCCTTTGCCTCCTAGTTCTTTCCTCTATTTCCTTTTACTTTCCACTATCATGCTCAGCCTT